GAGAAAAGTTTAGGCATTCTCTGACCTCGCTTCAGCAGCTTCGGAGCCGCTGGGACCCCATCGAGGCATATATTTGTTGGTAACCATAGAGGCTATAGCCTCACTAGCCCCTGAGCGGCTCTGTGACGTAGAGACTCCGGCGATGCTCGGATCTCGCTTTATTGGCTCGTGTCGGCTCTGCTCCCCTTCTATATATACATATCCTCACATTCTGCTTGCAGGTCTACTGGGAAACATAGGTGTCATTGTTTTAACCAAGCAAGATCCAGAAACGATTTCACACCATGTCTACCGCACCACGCGTGCTCATCCTCGGCGGACATGGCAAGGTGTCTCTCTTCCTGCAGCCCCTCTTGCTCGCCAAGAAATGGGATGTCACGAGCGTCGTCCGTAACCCAGCGCACGAGTCCGAGATTTTGGCGCTCGGTAAGGACAAGCCGGGAAAGATAGAGGTGTTGGTGGATAGTCTGGACGATGTCAAGAAAGTCAGCGATGCACAGAGGGTATTGGAAAAGGTGAGGCCGGATATTGTGGTCTGGAGCGCAGGTGAGTGAGCTGCCTGGTTCATGATTCATGTATCATCCTGGGGATCCCGAGTTGTGCTCCTATCACTTTCTGCAAAGTTCGAGGTGCTGATGTGGGATGTTGATAGGCGCTGGGGGAAAGGGTGGGCCGTCTAGAACGAAAGCTATAGATATGGTTGCTGCGAAATGCTATATCTCTGCGTCGTTGGCGATGCCCAGCGTTAGGAAGTTTCTTATGGTTTCTTACCATGCGGTAAGTGTTTGAAGTCCCTCCACTCTTGATCCGGCCGTGTCTTGCCTGCGAATCCATATGGAAAGCTGACAACACCCGCAACTGTACAATCACAGTCTCGCAAGGGCTATCCGCCATGGTGGACCGACGAAGACAGGAAAGCCGCCGACAACATCAACCAAAACATCCTGCCACACTACTACCAGGCAAAGGTGGAGGCAGATGAGCATCTTGAGGCCCTGGCTAAGAAGAGGCTGGACAGTGGAGATAAGGAGTTTCAGGCCATCAACTTGAGGCCCGGTACCTTGTCGGACAAGCCGGGTACGGGCAAGGTTGCATTGGGCAAGACACCGGTAATAGGGAGTAAGTCATTCTATTTTCTCGATCTTCCACCCTTGGACAAGCTGTTTGTTGACCATTTCAAACACAAGGTGTGCCGCGGGAGGATGTAGCACGGGTGGCCGCGGCGCTTTTGGACCGCAACGATACAAGAGGTTGGTTTGACCTGCTGGAGGGCGAGGAACCTATAGAGGAAGCGATCGACAGCCTTGTCAAGAGCGGGCATAACGGTCTTGAAGGAGAGGATATGGAACGGATCTGGGGAAGAGAGACATAGCATCCTCCATAAATGACGGGGAATGGCAAATCGTGTTGGCCGACTTAGCCAGAGGCTCACTGTTTCTGGGCTTCTGATTGATGAGTTTGAAAACGTTCTTAATGGACGACTTCACACAAAGAGAGGGTACGGACCAGGTCGTCCGTCGTCCTCGTTGATATTTCTTATCAATGACGGACTGGTCTCCAGGTTCGCGGTTGCCGAGAAGGTCCTGTGGGCCTGACCTGCCGTCACTGCTCAAGATCCATATTTGCTGACAAGGCTGATGGGCTAACTTGTGTGCTGGAGAATGAGTCGTGGAGGTGAGCCTCGTCGGTGCTCCGCTGGTTCCCCCGCCCACGTGCATCGGCCTGATATTGCGTCACGGTACAACTGTCTCCAAATCTTACAAATAGAATGATATCGAGAGACTCAACCCAGGACTCGTTGTGCTGTTGAGATAGAATCCTCTAAGCCTCGAAAGCACCTCGAAATTATGAGTTCAACATCACATCCTGACGCAGATATCTACCCGGAAGCGACGGGTCCTGCGGCCAAGATTGTTGCCGCGCATCAGAAGGACGAGCCCATCACTTTGTACTCGGGTTGGTTCTGTCCCTTCGTTCAAAGAGCTTGGATCACCCTTGAGGAGAAGAAGATCCCGTACAAGTACGTCGAGATCAATCCGTATCGGAAAGAGCCTAGGTCTGTATAAGATCATCACCGCCCATGGTTCGACGGGTCTTTGTACCAACTGAAGACAGTTTCCTCAAACTCAATCCCAGGGGCCTAGTCCCCACATTGGGCTGTCCTCAGGAAGATGGAACAACCAAACCACTGATTGAATCAAACATCATCAGCGAGTATGTCGTGATGGCGATCTGGGGCCCTCAGCTGCCAGCGGCTGACCAACTCCAGATATCTTGACGAAATGTATCCAGATCAGACGCACCTGTGGCCACGCGATCCTTATAGGAAAGCGGTCATGAGAGTATGGGTCGACCACATAACGACCAGGATCCTCCCTGCGTACCATAGGTAGTCGTCGACGCACCTTATTCTGAGCCTAACATCTCATAGCTTAACAGGTTCCTGCAACATACAGAGAAGAGTCCTTATACCTTGGAGAAAGCGCGCTCGGAGCTTCTCAACGCCCTGAAGACATGGATTTCTAACGCAGATCCAGAAGGCCCGTATTTCATGGGCCAAGACTTCACCTTCGGCGATATTGCTCTCGCTCCCTGGGCAGTGAGGATGTGGGTGCTAGACCACTTCAAGGGAGGCCTGGGAATTCCTCCTCCGGGCCAGGGTGGAGAAGACGAGCAACTGTGGAATCGATGGCGGAAATGGTCTAATGCAGTGACGTCAAGGAAATCCGTAACGGAAACAATGAGCAACAAGGAACACTACATGCCTATATACCAGCGGTATGCGGAAGATAGGGCTATGAGTGAAATGGCTAAAGCAATTAGAGAAGGAAGAGGAGTGCCCTGAACTGATTGAGTAGAGTAGCATCTCTAGGGGATGGGCCTCCGTCCTGGAAGAGTTGCCGGCGCCGGTTGATCATGATCTCGAACGAAGGAGCGCCGTAGCTTGAAGTATAAGACTGAGCTGTGGAGAAGACTTTTTATTCAATCGGAGCTGGCAAAGCTATAACAGATCAGGTACACTGGTGGTGAAGAAAGTTCAAAGACACTTCCGACAGTTGGAAGGGGCGGAAAAGTCCTTGGCGCGTTCCGCATATAAACATTGCACATGGCTCAACGTCCACTCATTTCAATCCACATACCTACCGTACATTTCCACCAGCCTCACGCTATTCTTCCATACTCTACGGCAAGACCCATCGAGGTATGGCAGAGGAGCCTATGTTCATCGACACCGGTTGAAGTACGGGCGTTCTGTTTCCGACCTCTGAACTAAAATGCCACGCGCTCCTCGAAGAGCAGCGCGTCAAGCCGGGCACAATGAAGTCACAACGACGCCGACTCGGAACACCTTGACTGCAGAAATCCCACCCTTTATGCTCGAAACTCCTCCCCACGCACCCTTCCTGACCACGCCTGTACCTCCGTCGAACAATCCAGGCCATTCTATTGTCCCAGTAACCAACGCCCAGCGCCGCCAGTACAGCCGAAACGAACCGACACCCACCACTAATGGCAATGGAAATGTTCAGAATGAGGCTTCGGATGAAACACGGGTGTCGCAGAATGCCCTTGGCTCCACAGCTTCAGAAGGCGGTCATGCAGATGAGCAGTCGCTACTTGAATCTGTCCATCATGATGTCGAAGATACCAGACAGCTCAAGGGTCTGCGGGATATCTCATCGTTAGCAACGTGGACATTGTCATCTGCAAAACCGGGCTGTGGACTGCCTCAACTTCGAAACCCGAGTCCTACTCTCTTCTGGCAGAGTGACGGGCCGCAGCCTCATACTCTGACATTACATTTCTTCAAGCTTGTCGCCATTGTTAAGATGCGGATCTATCTGGACTTTGAGCTTGATGAGTCGTATACCCCTACGAAAATGAAGTTTTACGCGGGCATGTCGGAGGGCAGTCTGGTTGAGTTTGGCACGTGGGAAGTCAACGACAGTGTCGATTTGGAAACAGGCGAGGCGCACAGCAGTCTCGAAAGTTTAAGAGGTTGGGTCGACGTGCCCCTGAAAGGCGTGGGCGGAAGAGAACCCCGCCACCATAGAAACTCGGATATGGTCGACGGCCAGGGAGAGCCGACGCTTTATCCCCTCCAATATGACCTTGAGGAGCAGCCAGGAGGAGATGTGCTGAAGGCGATGGTGGTGCAGGTTCGTATCTGTGAGAACCACCAAAATGGCAAGGATACCCATGTTCGGGGATTCCAGGTGTTTGCACGGGATTACAGCAACCATGCAGAAATGAAGAGCAACGTGAGAAAGGGAAAAGGGAGTAAACAGACGCAGACGCAGACGCTGGATGGTGATGAAGATTTCGGCAAGGTTGTTGGCCTCCAAGCGGCGGACTGGATGGGTGATCCAGAGGTGCGATAGACGATGCATGACTTTGATGACTTCTGCTACGACGCGGATACCACCGATTGAAAGCATGGAATGGGCGTACTGGGAAGGAATCACTACCATAATCCTCGAGAGTTGTTTTGAAGGTGCGCTGCAGTATTGTACAGGAAGAGAGCTCACTGAGTACGATTTACGAGACACCACGCATACACACCTCACACACTTCACACACCTCACATACCTCACCTGGCAGCCTTCTTCACTCTTCATTCTTCTCTTCACTCTGCACTCTTCGAATGCAGCCACACCACCACTCACCTCTCCCCCGGTTTCATCTCACTCCTCTATCATCACTCAGATTGCAATTCTCACCCTCGGCCTCAACGCCTGCCTTCCTAATAGCCTACGAAATGGTTAGCCTACGTGTATCTATCCTACTTCTTCTTTGCCCCATCATCTGTCTGCCGCTCTGGGTCCTTGTAGATAAGATTCCTCAAGGTCAGGATCACAGGATCACTTGGGCCCCTGTGGCCTTTGAAACAATGCTAATGAGTGATATCAGACGCCTGGGTTAAGGAACGATGTGATAATCTTCCCTACCAAGCTCGATCGTCGTCGGCAGCGGGTCGAGTCGCAACCCCTTCGAGTTGCATGCTCCAACTCTACAACTCGACCAAGCTCGAGTCCTGCCTCTCCGGCCAACACCTCATATTCTTTGGCGGTGCCAAAGCCCGCCAGCTGTTTTGGATTGTTGCCGAAAAGCTGGATCACCATCAAGCTCAAAATGCTAGCCAAGGTCTGGAGACCAGTCTCGGAGGCGCTACAACATTCAAGTCAGCCGGGGCGGGAATCATTCATGTCTGGGACCCAGCGTTCAACTCAACTCGTCATGCCCTCCTCGGGACCAGACCAATAGAAAACCACGATGCCCCTGCAGACTACCCGAAGATGATCAACGACATTCACTTCTTTTTCAATGAAGACGGTGTCCACCTCACCGATGAGGCTGCATCTTTCCAGGCCGACCTCGTGTTGAATTATTTCTGCAACAACCTTGTCGGCGTGCCATCGAAAGTTTCTCAAGCATACTGCTGTGCCCCGTATGTTGGCCCAAACGTTGTGCAGAAGATGCTGCTTTTCACGGGCTCATGTGGGATTGTCCACCACCTCCTTTCGTTCTTTGTCCGCAGAAAGCATGCCACCAGCCATCAAAATGACTCGCTCTCGTTCTCAGAAACATCCAGAGTCGTTGGGGCAATAGCTACAATCTCACTTGCTGTACTATACTGCTTCGTGGCCGACCGTACAGCCTTGTTCGACAAAGCTCCGAAATTGCTTGAGCTGGGCAAATTCATCTGCCTGGCCGGTCTCGTACTGCTCGCAGGTCTGGCCACCTTCAAGCCAAATCAGGCTCAGCATGAGACTGCCAATGATTGCATGACTGCACTGCCAGAATATCGTCGAGTGCTTTCCAGGCAGCAGACAGAGGAATGGAAAGGGTGGATGCAAATTGTCATACTTCTGTACCATTACTTCGGCCTGTCGAAAGTCCTTTGGGTCTATCAATTTGTCCGCCTGTTGGTCGCTTCCTACCTCTTCATGACTGGATTTGGCCACACCACCTATTTCATCACCACGAACGACTTCACATTCCGCAGGGTCGCGAGTGTCCTGCTGAGGACCAACCTGCTCAATATCCTTCTTACCTTTGTCATGGGAACTCGATATGACTTGTACTACTTCCCGGTCTTGACCAGCTTGTGGTTTCTCATCGTCTGGGCAACAGTCCCAAGGACTCCGGCACCTGGCGTAGACATGCATTGGTTTCTCCGCCGGACTGCCATATCTGCAACAATGGTCAGACTCATTCTAGGAACCAACAATATCATTGAACCGGCGCTGGACGCCATCAGCAGCCTCGGCTTGGGCCTTCCTGAAATCGATGGACGTGAGTTGTTCTTCAGATTTGGCCTCGACGCCTACATTGTGTTCGTTGGCATGATCACGGCAGCTCTTTATGCACAGTACGACACTTGCCACGGCCTCCAGTCTCGTAAAACGGCGGGGTCGCTCAACCGTTGGTCGCAGCTGGCTTCGAGATTGACAACACCGGTCGCCGCGTCTGTCATCTTAGCATATTTGATATTCTGCGGCGGGTTTTCAGATAAGTTTCGCTACAATGAATGGCATCCTTTTGTCTCGCCATTGCCCGTGCTGGCTTTCATTGTCCTCAGAAATTCGACTCCCAAATTATCAGCGTCACACAGCCGACTCTTTGCATGGTTTGGCCGCTGCTCTTTGGAAACATTTGCCTTCCAGTATCACACATTGCTTGCCGCCGACTCTCACGGCTTGCTTCGTCCGAGACTGGCCTGCAAACTAATCGGTCGACAGACCTGCCGAGGCGTGTTTGATGTGTTGGAGACTGCAATCGTGGTTGCGGCGTTTCTCTCGATGAGCGCTGCCACTTCAAATGCTCTGTCGATAATCACCAAAAGTCTCGTCGGCCTCGGAGCGAAGGCACTGGTCGCCTTTGTTGGCATATGGATACTCAACTTGGCGTGGAGTTCATCGGGTGCTGGAACCGCATAATCCTGTTGGGTTCTCTTGGTTAATTCCGCCCTTGGAGGTCCACCACACCAGAATCAGTATCCTTCTCCAAATTCGAGGCTTGTCTACTCCACACTTTCGGCACGTTGTCTCGATGTGACCTGGGGGCGGAGAAGAACGCTCATCAAGCCGAAATTCAATGATGACCTTGATGCCATATGAGTCAATGATCGAAAAGAGATTCCATATTGTACTTGATATATGACGGGACTATGGTTTAATTCCTAGGTTCCCGAAGGTAATGGCGTGTTCGTACGTCGGACATCGTACTTGCTGATCTCACATTTGTTTCAACACGAACGAAGGTCCTTTGTCAACGGGATGTTACCCCGGCAAATCTGTGCCGTGCGGCGTTCGGAGGCGATGTGGATTTGAACTTGCCTCCACATCTCACTGCTCTCTAGACCCGAATATCTGTATGTCCCGCCCCAGGAAATTCCTCGCTTGAAGACATACTGGTTGCTTGCGTTACACGTGCCGCACAGTCTCTGAAATACATCGAACCCCAATCAAGGCGGTACGAAGTCTCGCGGTCAATCAAAATGGGTGAGGACAAGCCAGAAGGAGACAGCGAAAGGGTTGCCGTTCAAGTTCCCCTCCAGCCAGGAGAGCCTGTCGCAGCTTTCGACGCATCTTTTGAACCGCCTTACGGATGGGTTGTCTGCATAGCCATGCATTTGATCAATGGTTTCACCTGGGGAATCATTGCGGTATGGATACTCAGCCCACAGATCTATCCTACAGTGACTTCTAACCATTTGGCTAGTCATATGGTGTTTACCTATCATACTACATTGATCATTCCATATTCCCTGGTACCTCAGATCTGGACTACACTTTTATTGGCGGCGTCAACTTTGCCTGTGCCATGCTGTGCGGACCCATCGTCAACTTGTTTGTCCGGAGACTTGGGACGCATGTGCCTATGTACTGCGGCTGCATCATGTTTGCAGGCGGATTCATTGCCGCGTCGTTCGCCACAGAGTTTTGGCATCTTGTTTTGACACAGGGGATCCTTGTCGGGTATGTTGCTGAAGCGTTCTTCTCACGCTGTTTCATGCTAATGTCTTCCAGACTGGGAACTGGCTTTTCGTGGTTACCTGCCACTCCCATCCTCCCGCAGTGGTTTAATAGGAATCGGAGCCTAGCACAAGGGATCGCAGCAGCAGGGAGCGGCGTTGGAGGAATTATCTTTTCTGCCGCAACGACACCCATGATCCAAAACCTCTCACTTGCATGGTCGCTTCGGATTACTGGTATCCTTGCATTTGGGGTTCTGTTCACCGCATGTTCGTTGATCCGAGACCGAAACAAAACAATCCGCCCAAGCTTCAAGGCTATAGACACAGATCTCCTGAAAAGGTATCGGGTCTGGTTGCTTATTGTGTACACGTTCTTCTCGATTCTCGGATATATTGCGGCCATCTATTCTCTAGGTAGACCCTCCTCTCGTCTCATCACGTCTCATGCCAACGTATAACTTACCTACTTCTAGGCGCATTCGCAACATCAATTGGATTGACGCAGGGTCAAGGCGGGATCGTGATTACTATCATGAATGTGGGAACTGCAATCGGAAGGCCTTTCGTTGGCGTCCTTAGCGATCGATTTGGCAGGATGACAGTGGCATGCCTCCTGACCGCGTCAAACACTGTGCTAGCATATGCGATCTGGATTCCCGCTGACTCTTATGGCGTGCTCATATTCTTTGCTCTTGTTGTGGGCGCCACCAGTGGTGTCTATTGGGGTGTACGAATCCAATATCGATGCTGTTTCCAGTTTTGCTAACCTGCTTTTAGACCATCGCACCTCTTTGCGCCGAGGTTGTCGAGCTGAAAGAACTCCCATCAGCACTCAGCCTAATGTGGGTGACTGTGTCCATGCCTGCTTTATGTGAGTTTCTCCGTCAATCGAGGAGCTAATGTAGCACTGGCTCATTCTGCGTGCAGTTTCAGAAGCAATTGCCTTGGAAATCCGGCGACCTCACTCATCTCGTCCATATCTATGGCCTCAGGTCTATACCGGCTTGGTGTTCTTGATCGCTAGTCTCTTCATGTTCGAACTCCGCCGGCAAAAATGGGGCTTCAGCAGGGAGAGGCACAGATGAATGCTTGCCACACAATGTTGGAGTTAAAGGAGATTCACACAGTCACGGACATTGTCCTGTCCTTCGACATTTGACTTAAGGCTTCATGTGCGAGGAGTATGTCGGATCCGCAGCATGTCCTTCATCCTTAACAAGCAGGTCGAAGATAAGGGCTTGCTATGATCCCGGGATCACTTCGCTAGACTCTGGCGATTGTCTGCCCCTCCACCTGTTTGGATTTCGCGCTCGACAAGCGTCTTTCCTGATACTATCTTCCCGCATTGGGTTGACCCGTCAGGACAGAAATGCTTGAGTTGTCACTCCAGCGGCCGAATAAAACAGCCGTTTGCGACGTACGATGGATCCAGTGTGGCATAACCAGGAGGCGAGGATTTTCAGCGCCAGACCGTGTCAGTCAAAAGTTGGTCTCCCGACAACGGCGACACTCTCTCAGCGTTACCCCAATGCTCCGGCCCAAAGAGAGTTGGATCTTCCGAGGGAAGCTGTTCTTCGGTAGTTGTGCTCCGCCATATTCTACTTGCACACCACGGCGCAAGGTATTGGAATTCTCGCACTAGTTCCATAACCCCCAGTGCCTCCAGCAGATGATTGCCTTGAAAGGTCAATTGAAAATAGTGGGGATTTACCCGTGACTCTCAAAAGAAGGCCACTGTTTGTGCAACTCGGTATCGCCGTCCGCCATCGAGACGGTTTATGAAAATGCATATGCTGGTGCTGCTTAGCGGCGCTCGATTTGTCCCATGGGCGGGCCATTCCTCCGACAAATCCAACCCCAGTCAGATGATTATGTTTGTGTTGGTAGTTCCCGGGTACCGGAGTATTCGGGCAGATCGTGTCTAGTGCGTCTAGTCCAGGCGAAAATACCCCATAGGTGACTTGGGAATGAGGGATGGTTGGAGGGTTATACCGAAAAAAGACTCAAGAGACCATCATCTACAAATATGTGGAGAGTCTCGAAGATCTCGCCGTCAGGATACATACTGTGAGGCTGCGAGGCTCGCACTAGCCTGTGCCAGTGACATGCCTCGGCAAAACCCACCCACGGATACATAATGTATGGGATGTAACTAGTCCTGTCTAATCATCAAAAGCCGAAACGTTCTACACATTACATGGTAGTGCACGTTCTTGCTGTACATTTCTTTGTTGTTCTCTATACCATCTGCCCCTTTCCAAATATCCCGTCGACTATGTCACGATAGTGGCCGCCTTGCGCAATAAAACATGCCCGTGACCGAAGTCTATATCCTCCGGCATGGCCACCGGCTGGCCTGGTCCTTGAACCCGAGAACGGGCAAGTACACTTCAAACCATCCGTTCCCGACACGCCTGCCCGCGGATCCTCCTCTGGCATCGCATGGTGTCCGTCAGGCGCACGAGACTGCAGCACATCTCAGCGAAGCATTCGCCGATATGATCAAGCAAGACCGGTTGAGGGTGTACTCTAGCCTCTTTTATCGATGTCTCGAAACACTACACCCGGTGATGGAGGCCATACTTGCACAAGTCCCGGCAACTGATGTCAAAAGGAGGAGAAACCTACAAGTCCGCGGCGAAAGGGGGTTGGGCGAGTGGTTCGGCCGGGCCTGGTTTGTCCAACCTCGACCGGCAGATCCAGAGAGACTGCGGAATGAGTTCTTCCCCTGGCTGGACGAGTCATACTCTTCGCGTATTATCCCTCCGGAGAATGGAGAACGGATTCACGAACTGCACGACCGCGTGGCACGCGCGTTGGCAAGGGTCATACAGGATGTGGATGAGGAGTATTCGCGAGCTGGGAGGGCCGACGACGAAGTGGCCGTGTTGATTTGTGGACATGCAGCCCCGATCATTGCGAGTGGGAGGGCTTTGACTGGGGAGGTACCCGAGGACTGGGACGAGGAGGATTTTCGATGTTTTACGTGCGGGATTAGCAAGTTCGTGCGACGGAAACTGCCCCCTCCCTCTAGAGATGAGAAAGGGGCGGACGAAGATTACCGTTACCATGACGAGGACTGGAGGAATAATGGCATGGGCGTCGCCGGCGGTTGGGATTGCATCTGGAACAGTGATTGCCGTCACTTAAGTCAGGGCGAGGAGAGAGGATGGCATTTCCACGGCGACGAGAGTTTCGATTCTTATGAGGATTTCCAGGCGAGACCGATCAAGACGTCGGCCGGGAGTGTTCCTCAGTCGAAGTTATGAATCCGGAGTACAAGAGGGAAAGGGGCATGATTGTCTCTGGTGGTGCGCTAGGACCGAGGGTTTGCATGGTTGGGAGAAAGACGAGGGCTATCCCCTCTATAGAACGGTAGAGATAGAACATAGAGAGGCATCGGGTTGTGTTGGGTTGTGTTGGGTTGTGCAAATGAGGCGAGCACGTCTGGTTGTGAACGTGTGGCTTGAATTGTCCTGTTCGATGCTCGGTTTGGCGGACAAAAGTGCGAGTCGCCTCCGCAAACAGGACGAAAACCTCGCGAGGCTTGGAACCTTCATCCCCCATCCAGCCGCGATTTCATCATCGCTTGTAGTTCTCGGTACTTTACGCGACGACAAATTCTTTCTGTTTCTTCTCCCCGCCTTCAACTGTTTGCCCAGCCTGCCGGGTTTGCAATTCTTCTGCTTCAATAATGGTCGCTCCCTCTCAGTAGGACGATGGCGGGTGTGAAGGGCCTTGTCCTCAGCCATGTCCTCTCCCGGCAGCAGAGCATTGCTCCATTCTACCGATTGCTATTATGGTAGATTTCCCTTCCCTTTCTCTCGAGGCCTTGGTGTCCTGACTACTGGCAGACCTTCTAGCGACCTTCATCCGACAGACTCGTCCCCAAACGCGAACCAGCCTCCGAGACGTTCGGCAACAGCGCCGGCATTTCCATGATTACTTCGTCACCCATCT